ACACCATTTTTGGCCGTCTTTTGACCATTCCAGAATATTTTATATTTTGAAATGGTCAAATCTAGCTTTCATTCTGTCTGAGTTGACATGATAAACACCATTCGATTTCCATCGGGTCTCCTGAATACAGCAGATGTCAATCCTTCTTCGCTCAAGCATTTCTGCGATTTCCTTGCTGCGGCCAGTCAGTGATCCAGCATTGAGCGTTCCAAGTCTAAGTACCATAGAGGGGCCATTCTGTATTTTTCTACAACATCCCTCCGCTATTGCATACTTCCCAGGGATTCTTAGCACCCCTTGACCACTGAAGGCCTGCTGGGGACTAGGGGCCGTTGTTTTTCTTTGTGATGGCATAGGAATAATTGGGGGAGAAGTTTTTACAGCCGGACACCCATCCTGACGACAACCACCAGTTATAAGCGGTGAGCCTAGCCTTTTGCTCAAAAGCACGCAAGACAGCGTTGGATGCAGTTTTATTTCATGCCCAGGACATATGATTGAACGAATAAATGAAATAAAAAGAATAAATGAATGAAAGAAGAAAGGAATGAATGAAAGAAAGCAATAAAACCAATGAACGAGTAAATGAATGATATAAAATGAATGAATGACTAAAACTACAATTGAAAATTCAATGAACAACTACAATGAATGAACAAATAAATATTGGAAAAATTCAATTCATTAACTAATTTGCATCATTCTAATTACTAATTACTAGGCTTTGATTGTCGGATATAGTTCAACAAATTTTATTTTGGCTTTATGACGTTCCACCCATCGAGTGTCACATAATCCTGTTAGTTTTTGATGATTACTACCAGACTCTGAAAAACTTTTAAGATTTTTTTAAAAACGTGAGCTTTCTTTGATTAATTGACTGCTTGATTGTACTTATACAATTGATGCACTGATTTTACAATAGGTATTTTTAACAATCTACTTTTGCCACCCATTATGCAATTGCTTTTCAATACCACTAGACCTTTGCTCATAATGCCTCAAAAAATCTTTTGAAATTTCTACACAGTTCTGATGATACGGCTGATATTTACGTTTGTGATCTTGGATAGGTTTTCAAAAGCTTCGGTGTAAATTTTTTTTAATTTTGTATTTTTTTCAGCGTTAAAAAACAATAGTAACTATACTATACTTTCCAACCTACTAAGAATATTTATCTTTATAATTACAACGAATGTACGTTGCAAAAAACCGTTGTTTTTAATAAATTTATATTACATATATTTTAAACTAATTCTTGACCCTTGACCGAATCTTTCAATATTTTTTTTATATTTCGGGGTTAGTTAATTGTTGCGCCACGTGAGTCTCCTTGATAGCTTGGTCGTCGTCATACCAATATATTCGGAGTTATGGTGCCCACACTCACCAATATTAAATTTGAACAAATATATTAGATGGCATTATCGAATCTGGCTTACTAGTGCAATATCAATTCGAATACCGAAAAAAGCTTTTTTGTTCTGTGATATTTAAAATAAATAAAAATTTTGGTTTTGAACTCAAGAAACTTGAGAATAAAAATGCTGGTTACAAAGACTTAGCACAATGTAGAAAATGTGATTTATATTATCATGAACTTTGCGCTGGTCTACGGTGTCCTCAATGTAAACAATTATTTCACTACAAGTGGAATTTATGAATTTGTGAAGGATTGCTTCAACATAACTTTCAAATGTGACGAATGCGTCAATTGTTTGCCGTCTGTAGAGCAGCTAACAAAAATGTGAAAAAATATAATAAAATCTTGCTGAATGAAATAGGAAAATTACAAGAGATGAATGAAAATTTTAAGTCTGAAATTAATGGTATCAAACTGAAAATAATTACCGATGGTAATAAATTGTCTACATTGAAAAAATTCAGAAAGTGGCGGTCGTTGCAAATACCGACAGGAAAGACATAGCTGTAATGGGTGGTACATTGGGTTCTAGATCAAATATTAGAGCAACTTAAAATATAAAAATAATTCTGGTAATTCGAAAGGGTTTGTAGTTTTTGGTTTATTAAATATAAGATCATTAGTTGGGAAAGTTGACAGTGTGTATGAATTGATTCACGGCGGATTGGATGTATTGGTACTAACAGAAACATTGCACGGGTTGGTTGGTGGTGTTGAAGTTGGTTTGACCATGCCACTTCAGTATTCCTTTTTTGATTTTGTAAGGCCGCTTGATCCTGGTCATAGGGAATTAGTTATTTATTTCCGCTCAAGTTTTGGTTCTAAAAAATAATTCTACCACTGTTTGCTACTTTTGAAGCCATCGTCATGAGGCTAACAATTGGACGATACAATTTTATTTTGCTTTCCTTATACAGACCAGGCTCAGCTCAGATATCTGCTTCATTTTTTAATAAATTCATCTCAGTCTTGGAATACATTTCAATGATAAATCTTGCATATTATTCTAATGAGGGGCTTCAATGTTCATGTGGAGAAAATGGATGATCCTCGCATGATAGGCTTGTTGGAAATATTCGACATGTTTAATCTGGTTAATTATGTAAAAGGTAAAACTCATTTTCTTGGTAGTACACTAAATCTGATCGTTAGCTCTCGTGATTTCCCTGTTCCTGATATAACAATTTATCCGAGTAAAGTATGCTTGATCATAGATGTAAAGAGGCAATTGCTCAAACGTGTGGTAATTTGGTTAAAAAATTAACTCGGTCTTGGAAATATCTAGACGGAAATCAGTTTACAAAAAATATTATAAACTCGGCTGTTGCAGGTTCATGCCAGAGGAATGATGTTGATACTGAGTTGATGTTGTTTGACAGCGAACTAAGAAGTTTAGTTAAAAGATTAGTTCCTCTACGTGACATTCACGTCAGTAGAAGTCATACAGCTCCATGGTTTGATGCAGATTGTCGGCGAGCTAAAAAACAGAGCAGAAAACTCGAAAAATTTTTCAAAAAATGCTTATCAACTGCAAGTCATAATAACTGGAGGATTTCATTTAAGTAGAAAATACCCTTTCCCTTGACAAGCGAAAATAATTTTTAAAAAACCAATTTAAGACTCTCAACAACTCTAAAGATTTTTGGCTAGCGGCAAGCAAGATCTTGTGTAGACAGAAGAAAAAACTCAGGTAGGTTTTGATTTAAACCTACCAGCTTCCCAAATAAAATAAATAAAATTACTCGAACTACGGAAGCTAATTATGATTCTTCACTTCATGATAATAGGTCAAAGATCAAGTGTCTTTCATCTTTTCCCAAAATTACGGAAGCTGATCTCAAGAGGATTATACTTGGTTCGCCATCAAAAACAAGTGTCCTTGATACAATTCCAACATGCATTATTAAAAAACATGTCAATTTGTTCATCAGTTTCTTCACTAATATGCTTTTGTTAATATGTGCTTGGGTTCAGGACAATTTTCTGCTGGTCTAAGGCATGCTGTGATCCAACCAATTTTGGAAAGAAACAATTTGGAAGTTAATAGTATTTTTAACTACAGACCAATCTCAAATCTTTCATTTATCTCAAAGATTATAGAATGAAATTTTGTTGAGAGTCTGCTGACTCATTTAACAAAACACGGCCTCATGCCAATTCACAATTCACCAGTCAGGCTACAAACGATTTCATTCAACAGAGACGGCTCTATTACATGTTCATTCCAAGCTAATCTCAGAAATAGATGCCCAGAATATTTTACTGTTGGCTTTCCTTGACATTTCGTCGGCATTCGATTGCGTCAATCAACATATTCTGTTGAAAAAGTTACATTATAGTTTTGGTATTTGAGATACTGCATATGCATGGTTTTAGTCTTACTTAGTGGGTCGTACCCAGCAGGTTTTGTTTAAAGACATTTCATCAGAAATAAATTTTTTTTGTCTGGAATACCTCAAGGTTTAGTGTTTAGGCCCATTCTGTTCTTACTATACACCTTGGACATAGCCAGGATGATTAATTCACATGGATTCATCTGCCAAGCGTTCGTTGATGATGTTCAGATGAATGTTACTGGTCGGCCGCAAGTGTTTCAAAGAGAAATTGATAGACTTGTCAAATGTTTGAACGATGTTTAACGCTGGATGTCCAGCAATTCGCTCAAGTTGAATCAGTGCAAAACCCAGTTGCTCTCGGTTGGCACTTGGCAGCAGATGACAAAGCTAGATATGCACTTGGTGATAGTAAACAACATTGATATAATGTTCAGCACAACTGCATCTAATTTGGGAGTTTTGATTGATTCTAAACTCACTATGAAAGAACACATAAAGAACGTATCAGAGTCTGACGTTATTTAGACAGGAGTAGTATGGAAACATTAGTAAATGGTCTCATAACATCCCGTCTTGACTACTGCAACAGCTTACTCTACATGCTACCCCAGACGTCAGTGGGGTAGCCTGTAAAGGTAGCCGATCAATCCAAAATTGTGCAGCTAAACTAGTGACAGGCGGGCTGAAGTTTGATCAGGTTACGCCGATTTTGAATGATCTCCACTGGCTGACAATCAATAAAAGAATAATCTTCAAAATAGTGCTCATAGTTTTCAAATCATTAAATGGCTTGGTTCAAAAATATTCGTCTAGAAGATTTGTCAGGAAAACATCCATATCGAATTTCAGTTTGGGATCAGACGATATAAACATTTTGATGGTACCAGCTGATCATTTACAAATATGATTGCGTGACGTTGCTGTTGCTGGCCCAATGGTTTGGAACGCTCTTCCGGAGTTGCTAAGAAGACCTGTAAATTCTTTGAACAATTTTAAAAAAGAATTGAAAACGCATTTATTTTTATTGGTTTAGCATTTAGTTTTTTTTAATCTTTCGCTCGTGTCATGTACTGTTTTATTTATGAGAGTGCTTTTGAGATTTTTTTTATTTAATTACCGCTATATAAATGAACATTAATAATGATATTATAAATATAATATATATATATGTATATGTGATCAGTTTCTGGTTCAATTTTTCAACATTTCGTATCGAATTTTTGTCATCATTTTTAACTTTTTTAAATAGAAATCTGAAATCCAATATCAATAACTGTCTGAAGAACATTAACAATAATTTTAGAAGAATTAGTGTCCTACAAATAATAAAAAAAAGTTAATCAAAAAATAAAATTCTAAATGGACATGACAGATTCATAAATTTGAGTGAGTATCAACGGACTCAAGATGAAAAAAATGTTTTGAACCTGGGCATTAACTGTCATTACTTTAAGAGACCAAAGAAAAATCACAAAGGAAGCTAATTAGCGCGGAACATGCTGTGATTTTCATCAATAATTATATATATGTACATATATTTATTTATTTATTGACACAACTGGCTAGAGGGCCACAACAGACAATTGTTTGTTCATGAAATAGGTTGGATAGTAAACATTTTCGTCGTTACTGCTTACCTCCTACGCACTGTCATATCACATATAACGCTAAGCATATGCAAAAACACGCATCAATTAACGATTTTAAACAATTCATTGTCTATTATATTATATGCTATCTTCGAAATATTTAAAAAATCCAAATCACGGTGATCCTTGTCAAAATATCATTTTTTTTATAGATTTTTGCTGGGATTGGGATATTAAGATAACTTGTTGGTTTAAGTTTATTATCGAGTGAGCAAAAAAAATTTACCTTAAGTAAATAATTTTGCCTTTTACGATCAAAATCTTCATAATCTTCTTTCTTTTTAATAGCATTTTTTGCTAAATTAGAGATGTTAGTGAAAATTTTGAATTTCATTAAATGAGAATTATAAGGTTCTACGTTATAAATGCATTCATCATACGGCGGTAGATCTTTATCGATGGCTTCTATTTGACCTGTTAACATCATAAAAATAATGTTTTCATTGTGAAAAAATTGTTACCTTAAAATACATATCAAGCCAAATATTGTATTATTTTGTAACTTTTATCATTATTGCCCATGGTCTGTTCATTGCATTTGGACATTGTGCAAGAATTTCTAGTCTTTCAACCTCTGAGTTTCACAAAATGCATTAGCCTCGAATTTCAGCGGTTAAACAAAATCATAAAACTTGTTAATTAATTGAAACTGAATTATAACTTTCTTATATGCAACATAGTAACAAACATGAGCCAGTTGCACAATATTATACCAATGATATTTCCAGCAGTAACGTTTTCTAGTACGTTGATAAAATAGGACTTTTCTGAAAATTGTGGTTTTTCATCATTAACATCTTCAACAATAACAAAAACTTTAACCGCCGAAAATTTTTGAATTATTCTTCCTTGGTCTTCAGCAATAACTTTCAGTTCGTGGATCGACTGATATTCTCTATTCAGTTGCGTTACACTCCATACGTTACCACTGCCATTGAAATAGATGAAATAGATCCAAAAATTATTCCAACTATTCACTATGTATTAATAGAAAGTGTTAACGTCTATATGTATACCTTTTAGAATCAACATGGAAGACATCACTGTCTCTTTTTTTCTTCAATCTGTATCTAATTTCTGCATTAATACCTTCGTCGATGTCATTTGCGTGCAACTGAAATAGGGTCTGTAAATTTTGTGATAGTTTATGATTTATTGTACATAATAAAAATTTACTTTTTAAAATTAGCCAGTATTACTTCAAAAGGTTTTCTGGACTCTGAAACAATAAAGTTATATTCTTTCTTTTCAAAAATTGGTTCGTTGTCATTTAAATCCAATATTTCAATAGTTATGTTCAGTGAAGAAGATAGCTGAGGGCTTCCGCTGTCATAGCAAGTTAATAACAAATTGTACGTTTGCAATGTTTCTCGGTCTAGATTACTTCCAACTTCTACAA